AGTCTAGATAGCTGGAATACTGAATTTCACTGATTAAATCCCACCTTGGCATTTGATAGGCCAGTAATTTTATCAAAGAATAATTTAACAAAAATCTTAAAGCAGTTACCTCCAAATAGAAATCTAATAAAAAACTAGCAAATAAATTTCAAAATGTGAATTCCTAATTTGGGTAATGGATTCTTTGTAGAGTAATAGTTCTCAACCAAGGCTGGGCATGAGAATTACCTAGGGAATATTGAGACTGATTGATCTCTGAGGCCAACATTGTGGGAAACCCGGATGAAACTCCTGACTTGGGTCTGGCCTACACTGTTGCCATATGAGGACAACCAATGGTTGGAAGATTCTCTCTCTGTTTTTGTCTCTGTTTCTCAGTCTCTCTCACACACATTTATTTTGACTTTCAAAATAAATAAATAAATCCTTCAAAGAATTATTGATGTCAGAGATTCTGGCTTAATTTTGCCTAGGATGCCAAACTTTAAATATTTGTAATCTGTGGAGACAGCTGAAAAGCACACAGCAACACTCTGTGTTATTTTAAAGTAAATTTCAGACGTTGTTCTATTTATTCCTGTCTGAAATGAGAGATACATATTTTCAGTATTGAGAACAGAGCATTATTATTTTAGCATACACACTTGTTTCCTTAATCTGACTCATTTGTTCCTAATTTCTTCATGGGAAAAGAATAAAAAGCCAATTTTACTTGACCTTTTGGTATCTGCTTTGAAATACTCATCCTCTACATAAGGAATGATTTAATTATTATGCATAGAATGAATGATTAAGAAAAATAATACAGGATTATGACCCTCACAGCTTTTTCTAAAGATAAGACAGACCTTTCCCACATTTTATTTTTCCTGAAATTGATATCCATCTTAGAATTGCTGAGTTCATCATCTTATTGAGTGATCATTTTTGTACAGTTTTGTGTAATCCTTTTTGCTGACACAGTATCGAAGCATATTTATGTATTGTGTAATGATTCCATGGCTTCATGAAAAAGGACTGAAAACCTGGCCATTTGGGGACATTCTGTGTTTCTTTAAGATCATCTTCTTTTAAATGTTATCAATATCAGGTTATTAATGAGCCTCTGGTGCTAGTAAGTAGTATCTATGGTCTCACCCATCCTTTGTCTTGCTGTCTGTCTGATTAGATCTGGGAACTGGTTAGGTAAAGATTTTTATACCCTGCAGGAGAAATTATCTTAAGCTTATAAAATTCAAAATTATATTTAATGTTATATAGTTTATTTTTATGAAAATTTAATGAAAGTGTCTTGTGTTTGATATTTGTTAATTACATCTTACTGGGTTTTTGTAAAGAAAGCTGTAATGAATAATCTTAACGCACATACAAAGTATTTGGGTTATTTCCTTGGAATGAATTTCTAGGAGTTGGTTTACTGAGTCAAAAGTATATGAATGTTTTTCTAAATTCTTAATACTCTTTAACAGACAGTGCTGATATAATCATATTTTTAAAATCTTTAAGGCTGACCTGTTGTGGTAGTTTCTTGTATTTTTCCTACTTCATACATAGGTTACTACAGCAAACACTTCATACAATAGTAGTATTTGGTTTAGAATTAAACAAGTAACCAATATTTTATGGAACTGAGCATTATTATTTTTTAATTTGTAAAATTTTCTGAATAGTACTGCTTGCAGAGTGGAATTTACATTAGGTATTGCTTCAGTTTTCAGAATTGTAATAATAGCTAATGGTTAATAAACTTTCATTAAATGAATGATTGAAAGTGAACTGAATGATTAAAGTGAACTGTTAGAATATACTTAATTTGTTTGACATGATATACATGTAAAAGATACTTATTCAACATCTATGAGAGTGTTAGAATTCTGTGATTAGTACAAAAAGGAAAATGTAAGATGCAAAAATAAAAATTAAATTATTAAACTATTCTAAACAAATTCATTGATATTTGTAAAAGTGTTGAAGGGTATTCTCAGAATGCCACGTTGGAAGCAATCATTCGAATGGTAATAAGAGTATGAGGTTAATAATCAGAGGATATTTTAACAATGTAGGAAAATCCGTGATACTGCGACTTGTTAGGAAATAAGGGTGAAGTGTAAAGGGTGTTTATCTGTAGTGGTCCTGTGAAGGATTTGCCAAAGTGAGAGCTATATAATAGTATTATGAAATGTTCCATTGGTTTTCTTGTATTAGTAACGGTATCATTTTTCATGACTGAAGTGGACAGTGAATTAAAAATATTTTATTTAGTGCTTAACATAAAGGTGACTATGATTTCATGCTTTAAAACTCTGAGAGACATGGGGAGGGCATGGTGTGATGGCCTAGGGGCTAGATCTTTGTTTTGCATGTGTCAGCTACTCCACTTCCCATCCAGCTCCCTGCTTGTGGCCTGGGAAAGCAGTAGAGCATGGCCCCAAAGCCTTGGGACCCGGCACCCACAGGGGAGACCTGGAAGAAACTCATGGCTCCTGACTTCGGCTTAGCTTAGCTCTGGTCATTACAGACATTTGTGGAGTGACCCAGCCGACCAAAGAGCTTCCTCTCTGTCTCTTCTCTCGGTATATCTGCCTTTCCAACAAAAATAGATGACTCTTAGAAAAAAACAAACAAAAAACACCTCTGAGAGGGAAACTTTTCTTGCCAGGGTTGGGAAGAGTCTCAAGAAGGAACTTGGTTGTACAGTATTCTTAAAAAATGTGATGAGGAAGAAAATGACACAAGCTTTGTAAGAACAGTGTCAAAATTACTAAAACTGAAAATGAGCTAAGAATTAGAGAAAGTGTTGAGAAAAATGAACAGAACAAGTAAACAAGCAAATCTCCAACCTTTTTCAAAATAGATGCCAGAGAGACAGAAATTTACCTTAATATAGGTGAGTCATTGAGAAAACAGAATAATTAATTCAAACTAGGGATCTGAAAAATAAACATTGTCAAGAACGATTGATTTATTCGAAAGACAGTATCAGAAAGGGAAGAAATCTTTTTTCTGCTGGTTCATTTCCATATAACCACAACAAACAGGGCTGGAAAAGGCTAAACCAGGAGCCAGGAATTCCATTCTGGTGTCCCACATAGGTAGCAGGGGCCCAAGTACTTGAAACATCTTCTCGTGTGATCCCAGGGCTATTATCAAAGGAGCTGGATTGGAGGCAGAGCTACCAGGCCTTACACAAGCACTCTTAGGGGACAGTGGCATGGAAGTGGCAACTTAATGTGCTGCACCACAACATTGACCACAAAGTAAATATTTTTAGAAGAACTTAGCAATCAAAAAGAAAACAAGGGTATATGAGCAGGCTCTTATGCTACTTCAGTGCATCTTCTAGCCTGAACATGAAGCGTAGTGCTGAAAATGCTATACAAAGTTTTGAGACTTGGAGGTGGCAAAAGAATGAATATAAACAAATGTATCTTTTGAACAATTGGAGGAATAGAATCTTTTTTGTTTCCAATACACAATTACTTTTTAAATTATTTTGATAAAAATTACTTTTGTATATCAATTTTGTTTCCTTATCTTTGAAACATACTGGATTTGGATTTATGAAAATCCAAGATATTAAATTTAAAAGATTTGTTGAGACACAGTGACTGATCATCTTGGTTTGCTCTCCAAATGACCACAACAATCAGTGATGGGGCAAGCTGAAGCCAGACACCAAGAATTCTCCAGGTTTCTAATGTGGGTGGCAGGGACCCAGGTGCTGGGCTATCTTCCTTTGCCTTTTCAGGTGATTTGATTAGCAAGAAACTGAATTGGAAGGAGAGCAGCAAGCTGGGACCGGCACACTGACATGGGATGCAGCCTAAATGGCAGCCTAAACCCCCTGTGGCACAGTGCCGGCCTTGAACATACCTGGGTTTTTGTTTTTGGTTTTTTGGTTTTTTCTTCCATGGCCCTGTGGTAGTAAGTTGAGCAGAGTTTCCATACAATTTGGCCACTAGATGGTGCTCCTACAGAGGTGATGTACATACACATACATATGCACTTACACGTCCGCGTATACACGTTTACATATGCAATATATAGACACCACATGTGTATATGGTGAGGATTTTTGGACAACCCATTTTCCTTATCTGTCTTCTGAGTTTATTATTAATCTCAGTACAGTTGTAAATTTTTTAATTTAACAGCTCGGGTAATAAACAGGTAAAAAAAATAGTAGTGGTGATGGGTTCTTAGTGCTTCAGTATTGTTTTTCTGATTGTTTTTGATGTTTATGACACTTCATTTAAAATATTTTGTTTATAGGTGGCAGAGTTAGAGAGGGGGAGAGAGAGATGAGAAAGGAATTTTTTCATGCACTGATTCTCTCCTCAAATGGCCACATTGGCTAAGGCTGGATCAAGTCAGAGCCAAGAGCTTCATCAGGTACAGGCGGCCCAAGGATTTCAGATGTTTCTGCTGATTTCCCAGATGTGTTAGCAGGGAGCTTGATTGGAAGTGGAACAGCTGGGACTCAGACAAATGCCCCTATGAGATAGTGGCATTGCAGGCAGTGGCCCAACCCTTTATTTTATTTCATTTTATTTTATTTAAAAGGCAGAGTAACAGAGAAGCAAAGACAGAGAAATCTGTCTGCTGCTTCACTCCCAAAATGCCAGGGTAGAGATCTTACATCTGCTGGTTCACTCTCGAGGTCAATTTGAAACCAGGAGCCAGGAGCTTCTTCCAGGTCTTCCACATGGGCACAGGGGCCCAAGGGTCTGAACCATCATGCACTGCTTCCCCAGTCCATAAGCAGGGAGTTGGATTGGAAGTGGGGCAGCCAGGACTAGAGCCTGTACCCACATGGGATGCTGGCCTCCAGGTGGAAGCTTAGCCTACTACCCCACAGTGCTGGCCCTGGCGCGTGTTTTTTGTTGTTGTTTACTATTTTAAATCGTTTTTCTGGTTCTTCCTGTTTGTTAAAACTTATTTTCATTTTAATGGAGTTTCTTTTTCATTTTTGCTACAGTATGAGTGTGGCTATTCTAAAGCTGCTGCCTTTGTGAAATCACATGAAGCCGATTGTGGTTTAGATTTTATGTTAAATACTAGGTTATGAATTGACTTAGTTCTGTATTTTTATAGTTCAGATGATAAGATATTATTGTAAAGAAACTTATTTTCTTAATGTGAACGGACTTGCATAGTGAATTCATACATGGTGAAGAGTATTCCTTCACTGTACTTCAGGGAATGCCAGCTGGAATGATGTCAATCTTACATTGTACCCAGACTGTTTAATTCTCTAGGATAAATTTCTGTAGTCTGTATTGTTAATGTTTGCAATTCGAGGCAAGAGTTGTACATTCAACATTTGTATTCAAAGTCTTCACCCATACTAATACAAAGAGTAGTAGAACCTATTATAATTATCATATAATTGTTTTTTTTCTTCTCCCTGAGTTACCGTCACAGTGGATCAAGGCACATTTTTGGAACTGTGCCATTTGCTACAGCACTTATAAAATACCCATTAACTATTATATACTTAGTCCGTGGTAAAGCTTAAATTTTTTTTTTCAGGTAATTCACTGTTTCCCTTTAAAGAGGATTCTTAATTCTGTTTTTACATTTTACGCTTTTTGTAGTCTACCCCCAATTAGGATAGATCTGTTTAGGGTCTCGAATTTCAGTTGGTTAACTAACACAGTCCTTGGGAAAGGACATCAAACTTCCTGTGTAATCTCTGTCAGAAAATATCTTATTCCAACAATCCCACTTGTCTCTTTAACCTTTCCTTGAATTATGACTGTGTCCTTAGGGAACAGTTTATAGAGGTAGCATTGATACCCTTTTTGCTTTTTTTTCAGAGCTAGGATTTGCAGTAGGACTTTGAAGTTTGAATTTGCCAATGCTGTTTTCCAGTATGCTACATCTGGTTGTTGCTGATGTGCATACAAGATGACCAGAGCTTTGTCAGTTCGTATCTGAAAAATACATTCATGGCTGAAGATAGGGCTTACAGTGTGCCCAGATAAACTTAAAAATTGAATTACTTAGCCATTAGTAAATTATCAAGTAATTTTTTATTTATATACTGTTACAAGATGGCCATTTATTATCACATATGCCAGTATAACAGTGATTAGAGAACAATCTAAGTCTAGCAGTCAAACTTGTGATTTTTGTAAACCAAAAATTCTGGGATAGGTATTTGGTGCATTGGTCAACCTGCTACTTGAGATGTCTGCATGTGGTAGCAGAATAGATAGATTAGAATCCTATCAGTTGTAGATTCCTGCTCATTTTCACACTAGGAGGCAGCTAATGGTGACTTGGGTGGTTAGATCTCTGTCAGTTATGTGGGAAAGCCACATTGAGTTCTTGGCCCCTGGGCATGTAGGAAGTGAACCAGCAGATGAACGCCCTTCCCAGTCTATTAAAAACCATACCATTCCCAGGTTTCTTCTCCCCTTGAAAAATCTAATGCAGAGAGAATATATGATTTTGCATTTTTAAATTAGCTCCCTGCAGATTCTGAGGTTGACTACTATATTCAGAAATACAGATCTAGATGATAGATGTTAGAAAGTGTTGATTCCTTAATGAAACTGTTATTTTGTGAGTCAGAATATGATTTATACAGTGTTAAGCAAAACACATTTTATTGGTTATGAAAAAAGAGTATTGTTACTTTTTTTTTTTTTTTTTGAGAGGAAGGGAGAGATGCACATGGGGATGGAGCTTCCATCCCCTGAGCAGCTTCCCGAATGCCTACACGATCACTGCTGGGCTAGGCCAAAAGCTGGGAGCCAGAAACTCAATCCAGGCCTCCCATGTGAGTGTCAGAAACCAAATTGATGAGTTATTATCACTGCTTCCCCAAGAGTCTTCATTCTTAATAAGAAGCTATATACGCAGCCAGAGCCAGGTATCACATAAACCTAGGTACTCTAGGATGGGGTAGAGCATCTTACCCACTAGAACAAAGGCCCATGTCACAAACTTGTGAACTTTATATATAAAGATGCTAATAATCATAACAATTTTTTGTCATAAAAGTTCCAGAAACCTTGATTATTTTGTTAATCTGTTTAATTTCAAATTATTAAAAATAAGTTGCATGGTTGCGCTATATTATAAATGGATTTCGCCTTCTCAGTAAATCCTGAGTTTAATGTTGATTGTGCCTTTAAAAAACTTAGACCAGTGTTAAATAATGTAAGATTCTTCCTGATGTAGAAATTTATATGTAAATGTCAAAGGCTCTCTTTAGTGAAATTGTTTTAACATCTAGAGCTATTGGCCAAAAGAATCCCCTAAGATTTGTTAAATTCATGCCATACTTATAATTTATCTAATCAGAAAAGCTGCCTTTGGATTTTACTACAAGAGGTGATTGAAACTTGGTAATCCAGGGTTTCTCCACCCAGTGCATTAAATCAGGCAACCCCAAAGGGTTTCAGTAGTCCAGTGTTCCTAACATCCTTCTTTACCTGCTAATCGACCTCACTTCCTGGATTTCAGTCCGTCTAGTTATCAGCTAACAAAAGAACAGCTTTTAGTTCCTGCAGACGCTGCTGAAAAAATAATCACGAGAAAGAAATCCACCTTATGTCGTCTTTTTTATCTGCAAAAATAAACTCAGCCATCATACAGCTAACAGGTACGGAGGGAAGATACAAGCTCTTTCATAGGAAGAAATTACTGAGAAAATGAGCATCATTTCTCAAGGTTTTTGTTTTCCCTGATCTACAAGTGATGCTGCTGTAATTCTAGCTGCAGTTTTTACCGATCGTTCACTACTCAGCAGCTGGTAGAGAAGTAAGACTGCTTGGCAACCACCTGCAGGGCTGCAGAGATGAATTACATTTTCGGAAACAACACACTTCTGTATTCTCGCGCCAGTCGAGGAGGCAATACTAGCTCTAGCCATGGCTCAGTAGGCCCAAAGCAAAAACATTGGGCAAAAAAGGGCTCATCAGATGAACTGCAAGCTGAGCCCGAACCTTCACGCTGGCAGCAGATAGTTGCATTTTTTACTCGAAGACACAGCTTTATTGACTGCATCTCAGTGGCCACCAGCTCCACCCAGGTAACATACCACTTGTTGAAATGATTTTCAGTATATTATATGTTCCCATTTGCTTTGCAAAAATGTCTTGGAATGTATTTCCTATTTAAAAGATGCTCTGTAGCATTGGCTGCGCAGAAATGTTATGTTTTCAGTCCATCTATGCAGCACAAAAGAGGGAACAAAAAATATTTTTCCTTATGCTCTTATGTAATGCCAAACAAAACAATCTCAGATTCTGTTGAATGACTTCTGTAAAAAAAAAAAAAAAGCCATTGGTACATAAACTGAAATGTAAATTAATAATGCTCATATTCTTGTTTTTAGATTGTTAAATGCTATAGAGTATGTCTGACCAATGAAAATTCCTGTTTGCTTAGTTGTGTGTTATTAATAACCTTAGAAAGATTATCATAAAAACAAAACAGAATAATATGTTGTTATGTTTCCCATTGTTTTGAAGCTATATTAAATTTAATGTAGTTAGCTAGAATTGTATATACATATCATAAAATTATATTAAATTATGATTTATTCAAAGGATTTAAATAACCCTTCTGTTTCTGTGAATATATATGATCTTTGGTTAATTTGGAATTGATAAGCCTGTGTAATTACACAGTCGTGAGGGTATTTTTGTTTCACATGTTCAAATTGCAATTCAAAGAGATGAGCAAACACTCAAAGTTTCCCCGATAAAAGAAAAAAATATACATGTAAAACACTTTCTGAGGAAATGAGTATTGATAATGTAACAATAATGGAAAATAAAATTACTAACTGAATAAATTTTTAGTATTTGGCATGAGAATTGTTTGGGGGAATAGTCATATTTTTAAAAATGTTTTTTAAAAATTCATCTGACCTCAGTAAAAAATTAAAGAATGAGAAATAGTCTAATTTGAAAACAGTGCTTTCATCTTTTGACATCAGTAATATATAAGTTAGCAAAATATACATACATACTCCTAAGGCCTGTTAAAAATAAATTTCCTTAAAATGATCTTTTTTGTTGTTGTTGTTTAATTATCAGTAGCAGCTAGATAACTGTATTTGTCATAGCTTTTTAAAAAATTATTTGTGATTACAGAATTAGCTTTCAGTAACTAATTTTAAAATATCAACTTTCTTAAGAAACTGCTTGTTTTTCTTATATACTTAAGAGGAATATAATGATTCAAGTAGGGAAACATTTTTATATAAACACTGGGGTTACTTACAGTCATAACTTAATGAGAGGCAATGATTGAATTTAAATAAGCTTTGACTGCAGTTACATAAAAAAGGATCCCAAGGACCAGATGTTGATGGTGTTACGTATTTTAAGTGGCATTTTCTGTTATGCAAACAGTTGATATGTGTATCTATGTGTATGTTTTTACATTTGGCTTATGTAATTGCACACACACTATACCATGAGTATAATACATAAACATTAACACATCTGTACTTCATCTTGGGCCACATGAAACTTATAATCACAGAATTAGATTATGTAGTTATGACTTGTAACACATTGCTGTCATACCACACTGAAATAAAATCATGACCTCTGTGGGCAGTTGATCCTACAAAGCCCTTTGAAATTCTGCCTGCTCCTCCCACTTTGATTCAGATAATTTCTGTATACTGGTAACTATTTTTCTTTTGACCTCTTTCCTGATGATCATCTTTCTCATTACCTCTACCATTCAGCCCTAGAAGCATAGACGTTAGGTCAGACGTTTCAACTTCAGTTTTTATTCTGCTCTGGAGTTCTAACATTTCATTTTGTATATTTTTCTAATGGATGAGATGACTGGTTTCTATAGCCAAAAATTTTTTTAGTAACTCAGTAAAATTCATTTTATGGTATGAAATATAATGAGAACACTATACTTTAGAACCTAATATAGGACATATTATATTCATACATACATACATGGGACATAATATGGGACATAAAACAAAATATGGGCCTATTTTGTTGCTAGACTACAACTTTCTATTTCTCTTTACTGATCAATGGTTGGCACTAAAACCAAAGGGATTTGTGTTATGTAAATAAATTAGATTAATAAATTTTCACTATTGCGCATATACTCTTTACTTATGATTATGGTAGGATGATAGTGCTTGGTGCTGTCATAGCAGATTTATTTTAGTGCTGTCAGAAATACTCTTCTGTGATCTGCTAGAAAGCTTAACTTTGAATTCGGTTCCTTTTAACAGATCCCATAATAGTTTTAGTACATTAAAAGATGCTAGTAAATCAAATTTATTAATATGAAAATCATTAATCAGATTTAATATCCCTCCAGGTACCTATTATAAATAGAAAATTTACTCACCATACTGATTAATGTTAAATTGTATATCTGTTAAAAGTGTTCAGTTTATAGCAAGATTATAGCAAGGTTCTACTATAATTTGTAATGTAGTAGAAAGTCAGTACTGCTGTTCCGCAAGATAAGGAAGTCAAATCGTTTGTCTTTTTTTAAAAAGATTTATTTTTATTGGAAAGTCAGATATATAGAGAGGAGGAGAGACAGAGAGGAAGATCTTCTGTCTGATAATTCACTCCCCAAGTGAGCGCAAGGGCTGATGCTATGCCGATCCAAAGCCAGGATCCAGGAACTTCTCCCAGGCCATAGCAGGGAAGTGGAGATGCTGGGATTAGAACCAGTGCCCATATGGGATCCCGGGCACATTCAAGGTGAGAACTTTAGCCACTAGGCCACACCGCTGGGCTGAGGAAGTCAAGATGTTCCCACTTTTTTGAGTTGATACCCATAAGTATTTATAGAATAAATTTCTTTTTCAGTCCCCTGCAGTTTTTTCTTGACTTCTAATACATGGTACCAAATCTAATGCCTCTTGCACACTTAGCTTTATTGGGTCTGTTTCCTCATAAGTGCCTTTCTCTTCACAGGAGCACATCTCTTCCTTTGCTTCCCTTTGTTTTCCTGCCTTTTTTCATTCTGTGTTCAACCACACAAATCCCTGTACATCAGATTTCTGCAGCCCTTGCAATCCCTACCAAATAGTAATAACTGTATACTTAATAAACTTTGTCTATAATTTTCATCATTTGTTTACACTGGGGTGGGGGGGAAGGTTATTTTATTAAGATCAGTTCCTTGTGAATTCACTTGCTTTGGCATAAGTTTTCCTGTTTAGAGATTCATACTACTTATACCCTTAATTTTTAGCATAAATACACAAAAAGTAGGCTATGCATTATCCAGCCCATCTTGATTCCTCATCCCTATATCCCTATTGCTTTTTAGGAGATTTTTGAAAAATAACTATTATAGTATGTAAAATCTCTTATTATGGCATTGTCTAGATTTTGTGGAAAATGTAGTATATCATCACATCCTTTTTTTAAAAAAAAATTTATTTATATATGTATTTATTTGAAAGGCAGAATTACACAGAGAGAAGGAGAGACAGAGAAATCTTCCCATCTACTGGTTCACTCCCCAAATGGCCACAACAGCCAGAGCTGGGCCCATCTGACGCTGAAAGCCTGGAGCGTCTTCCAGGTCTTCCACATCAGTGCTAGAACCCAACCACTTGGGTCATCCTCTGCTACTTTCCCAGCAGCATTAACAGGGAGCCACATCAAATGGAGCAGACAGGACTGGAACCAGCACCTATCTGGGATGGTGTTATGTCACAAGTGCCGGCTCTGTCCCTCCTGTTTTTACATCAGGATCATTTACTACCAAACTGCCTTGATCTATATAGTGTATTCAAATCCCTAAAGTAGATCATTGTAAATATACAAGACATTTTTCTTAAAACTATTGAAGTGCCAAATTAAACCAAAAACAACAACTCTTTGTTCCTAGAACAGCATGGAACAGACACAGTGGCTTGTCAGAATTGAAGTAGAATGCGAATATTTTATAAAAGTAAATATTAGCTACATGAGTTGAATAATCTATTTAAAGGAATTATCCTAAACTAAAACACAGGAAAGCTTTGTTCACATACTCGTGTGGAAAAATACAGGTTAGTATGTTAATTTGCATTTTTGTCCCAGATATATTTTGGACAGTAAAGTATTTCACTTTTAGAACTGCGTGTTGGGTATTATTTTATCTCCCAAATGGAGTCAGTAATATAAATGCTTTGATATTATATAGTATCACTGTGTGTGTGTGTGTGTGTATCAAATATAAATGATTTGATGATACACAGTATGCTTAGAATTGTGCCTGGCACATAGCAAGTGCTACATTAGAGATAGATTCTGCTCTTATTTATTTTTAATTACCTATCATGCAGTCCCTGAACAAATTAAAGTATAGGAATTGCAGAACCTAGGACAGTGTAGTGCAATCAGGTTTTCAATAAATACTGTTTGCTGAATAACCTAACTAAGTGCTGATCATCTACTTTTCTAAGAACCACAAATTTTAACACCTTAATTTGAAGGACTTAATGAATGGGTCTCCGTGAATCCTCAGATTCATGGTAAGATCAAGTCCCTAACATTCCCTTCTGCAAATTACCAGCAACCATTCATCAGTAGATGACTAGATTCAACTGACAACACTTCATTCCAAGTTCCCTCAAACATATTATGGCTAATCTTAGATCTTACATGTCTTATAACCACAGAAAAACATACCTACTTTCCATGTTACTCTCACTAGTTTCATTATCCCTTTGTGGGTGTACTTTATCCCTAATCTGTTTTGCACTTGTTTAATCTCTCTCATTTAAAAAAAAAAATGTTTACTTCTTTTTATCAGAAAGGCAGATTTACAGACAAAAGGAGAGACAGAAAGATCTTCATCTGCTGATTCACTCCCCAAATGGCTGCAGTGACCAAAACTGAGGTGATCTGAAGCCAGATTTCTCTGAGTCTATGATGCAGGTGCAGGATGTCAAGGACTTGTGCTGTGTCCTCCACTGTTTTCCCAAGCCGTAAACAGGCAGGTGGATGGGACACCTGGGATACAAGCCAGCACCCATATGGGAGGCCAGCACCTGGAGCCTAAGGATTAGCCAATTGAGCCATCACACCA